AATTTCTCCCCATGGGCTGGTTTGTAATCATAAAACTGAAGCAGCAGTGACATAAACCTCAGAACTAGAAAAAGCCTAAATGCCATATGGTTTAAATCTCTATTTTGCTAGTGCTGTAGAAGTAGAAAATTTTAGAACTGGAAGGCACTTAGAAATCACCTAGTCCTACTTTCTCATTCTTCAGTTGAATAAACAGATTCTGAAAGTGTCACATCATTTCCCAAAGTCATACAACTCAGGATCCAGGTTAATAAAAGAGCTCCGTCTCTTAATGCCCAAGCCATTGTGGAAGCCTAGAAAAGTGAAGGACAAAGAGAGAGCTGCATAAAGAAACCCTTCCTTTACACGACACACACTGTGATTTTTTAAAAAAGAACCACGAGGCCTAATTATAAGAAAATCACCCCACTCTTTTTCTGGACAGACAGAAGTAGGTAAGAATTGGATAATGATAATTCTCTCAAACTCTCAGCCCCTGTAAATAGTTTTTAGAATGCCCATAATTAAGTTAAAAGGCCAAAACATCTTGCTGCATCTATAAATCAGTAAGGCTAAAGACAATGGTTTCCATGAAACAAAGTCTGTACAAAGCAACCCTGAACAGAGCATATGTTATAAAAGCATCTTGGTGTTCTCTCAATTTGTTTTATAAATTGTTCTGACTACACAGGTGACTAAGACCAAAAGCAGGGTTCCTGCAGCTGCTCGTGATTCATGTAGTAGAAAAGAAAGATAAAAGATCACTTCTCAGAGATTTATATCCAAATGCCTTAACCTAATCTACAAAAGGGGACATTAAGATAATGGAGAAAAGTGAAAATAAAGGTCCCAGACTTGGATAATCACTGCACGTTGCCCGGTGAAGGCAGCAAAACACCCAGCAGAAATGAACTCATGCCTCACTCAGGGCTGGGATAGGAAGCTGACCAGGTCTCTTTAGTCTAAAATAAGACACCCTCAGAATTGTACAAAGAGAACTTAGAAAGCAAGAGTGTAAAATTAAGGCCTGAATGAAGGGTAAAGGCAGGATTTCCACTTGCTCTTTCTCTTTTGTATTCTACATTTTTTATTTTTTTTTTTTTAACAATGGAAGAATAATCTTAAACTTTAGTCTCTTGTGATCACATAGCCTGTCTTTGTTTTCCCACTCCCGGACTGACGTGTGTTAATTACCACGGATAATCGGACATCGGCCTACAATGGAAGGCACTCAATTGATGGATCCAACTGCAAAAAACTTGTGTGCTTTGCTCATTCAACATCATTTATCTGCCATTCCAAGTTTTTCTCTGGCTTGCAAAAGTTAGCAGGTAGCAGTTCTCTTCTTAAGGAAACACAAGCTCAGATTGTAACTATAGTAAGTCACTTTTCTGGGCTATATATGTGTGTATATAGATATAGATATAGATATAACCCTGTTTTAGTCTTTACAGCCACCGTCTAGGAATAATCTTTTAAATTATTTTATAAACAACATAAAGACTACAAAGTGGAAATCCCAAGAAGTTTAACCATTTGCTTAAGGTCATTTGTCTTCCAAGGGGTAAGACAGGAATTGGAATCCAAGTCTTCAGTGGCTGGAGCCTAAAATCCTTGCATCAACCATATTTTAGGTGTTTCCCAGGTGTGGAAAGAAGACATGTACAATGGGATTCCCACCCATGCAGCCCGCCTCTAAAACTGGGAGGCACGCTATTTGGGCACGCTTTAGTTTTTAATGTTATGTAAGGGTGGCAATTGTTCAATCATCTATCATTAATGAACAACGGTGACTCACATTTTGCTATCTTCAAATCTTATATCATTAAACATAAAGAAAATTTAGCAATTTTAATTGATTTGGCACGGCCTTTCAAATTTCCATATGGTTATTTTCCCTGTTTTGTGATAAATGTAATCGACTTAACACTTGAGATTTAAAGTCTTGGCAGAATGTATCAATTAAAAGCTACATAAATTAGAATGACTCAAAGCACACATTCCAAACTGAGTGATCGTAAGGACAATATTTTAAGATGCTCTTTTCATAAATATGTTAATTTTTCCTATAAACTTGCATTGTTATCCACATATAGACAAAAAAGGGGTATTTTCTTTGATAGTGAAAGCTAACATTCAATTGGCCTATTCCATAAGTGCCTCAGTGTACCTAAAATAGCCTTTCCTATTCTGTTTGTGCGACAAGTCTGTTTTATTTGTAATTCTGAAAATGACAGCAGTCTTGGCAATGCCTAGAACTGCATGGAAACTAAAATGTAATCATGATATGGACCAACGTGGCACTGAGCATATTAAGGTAACAGTATGTTTTAGCACTTTTTCATTTGTGGTGCAAAATATGACATCCCATACTTAATGCATCCCAGAGTACTACTTTCTAAAAATGGCATTACTTTCAAAGACACAGTCTTTCTAAGCCAGAGCCACCATTTCCTTTCGAAACTGTAAAATCTCACAATATGGATAAAACACAAAGAGAAACTTTAGAAAGGCAAATTACAATTATTCCTGAAGACTTCTGATGGAGTTTCTTATCCTTATGGCTCCTTATGACTCTTGCCTGTGTAATTGTTTTCCGAATACATGAAGTCTATCACATGTGCTGAGTAAAGGAAAGAATCATTCATCAACCCCAAGTGGTTGTGGATGGCATTTCACTTATTTAGCTTGACTAAAAGACCAACGTGCCTGCTGTCCCCATGATGGTTGGAGCGCTGCTGTACAATTCAAACTAAAGTTTTTAAAAAACAGTATCGTTCAATTTTGTTTGTATGCATTAGGTTATAGAACACAGAACCAGTAGGCCTATAATGGAATTCTAGTTTTAATACCATGTTTACAAGCAACTACTTAAGCTATTAAATATTAATAGATCTTCCTCTCTGGCAAAGATAACATTAGATAGAAATCTTTCTTCTTAGTGTCCAATTTCCTTATGTTATTCTCTGTCCTTCCAGAGTTGCACAGAAATTGTTTATTCCAAATTTAAATGAGAAAATTTGACAGTAATCCTTCATTACTGTGGATTATTTTATCGATTTTGTACTATCTCCAGGGTCTCCCTTTTCGGTGATAGGAATGTGAAATTACTAGAAGTATCCTTAAAGAAAACTTTGAAGGTCATTAGTTCCTAGGCAATGAATGCTTTCATTCAACAAAAGTGCTGCCCTCTCAAGCCCTTTAACATCACCAAGTCCCCCCAAAGGGCCTGCACTTTAACTTGGTCTGAACAGGTCACATTTCTAAAATGCTTAGCTGTCTCAAATGTCTCTGGTCGGCAGCACTGAGTCACTAATGCCACAGCCACAGTGTTTCAGGCTAGACTGACCTCTTTCTAGTTTTCAATGGTATTATTCCATGTAATCCTATTTACACAGCCATTTAATCAAAGCGAGAAAGGAGATTACAGAGCTCGCATTTGTTTTGCAAAGCAAGGGTGCAAGGATCATCAATCCTCCTGACTCTCAAAGTGACTTGACAGCACATCCCCCGGCTTTGGAGTGTTGGACATTAACCTGATCTGTCTCCTGTTTTCTTGTTTAAATAGGAAGGTTTGGGCTCTTTTCCTGATCTAAAAGGCAGCGGCTTCTCCGCCCACATCTCACCGCCACCATTCATGCAAGCAGATGCTACTCTAAAAAGGAATAGGTTCCCCACCCTTGCTTACTGCTCCCCAGATCAGAAAGCCTGTACGCTTCAAGCGATACGTAAAACTTTTCTTTGTTGCAAGAATCTTAATATTTGCATTTCTCTAGCACAGTGTGGTAATTCCAGGTGTGGCGTCCTTGCCTAAAAACTAACCTGCTTGCAAGAGAGCAGACAGGCACTCTCTTTTCTCCTTGCTTCTCTTCTGGAGACTGCAAGAGGAGACTAGATGTGCTACCTCCTTCTAATATCAGGCAAAGTCCCTTATCTCTGCCCTTTTCCACACCAGTGGAAAGAGCTTTACTCTTCCTTTTTCACGGCCAAGCCTAGACATTCATTTAAAATATGATGCTAAGTGGGTCACTTAATAAAGCATTTTCGGCACACGGATTCTTTCATTCTAACCCTTCGGCGCCGCCGCCCCCCGACATTTCTACCCCTTTCACACATTTCAGGAAATGCAATCTGCAGTCGAACCTCTGTGGGGTGAAAGGGCAGCCTTACCCAGCCGGAGGCAGACAGCAGAACAATTCCGAAAGAAAGAAGTGGGAAGAGGTGAGAACCGCCCGCCAGAGGTGAAAACAATCGTGGATGGGAGCATCGTGGCGACCGTTTCCAAACCACGAGCAGGATATTTGTTTCGTGGGTGGGGGTGAGGGTGTCTAATTGTACCCTAGGCAGCGCTTTAGCTAGTCCGGTATCTATAAAGCACAATTCAGCAACACTGGGTATTATCTCAACAACTATCATTAGAGGTCCCATTAAAATTTTTTTAAATAAAAATAACTTTTTTTGCAGTGGAGAAAGGTGCACGCACTGAGGAGGTGTTACTCCATCTGCAGCTCTCTGGAGGGCCCACCCAGAGCTTCGAACTAGGCGGCTCGGGCCGCAGGGCGCCAAGTTTTCCCGGGCGGGCCTGGCAGGTTCCCCACCCGGCGAGCGAGCGCTGCCGCCTAGCAGCTCGGTGTTGGCTTCGCTCCCGCGGCTGCACCCGCGCCCTGCGCCCCCCGCACAAACGTGGGCTCCAGAGCAAGCGAGGGTGGCGCGTGGGGAGCTGTTTCGTAATCTCCCGGAATCCACGGGAAAATGTCTCCTGTGCAAAGACGAGCCTTCCCGGGATAGCGCCAAGTCCCAGGCCAAAAAGCCCACCCTTCCCTCGGATGGGAAACGCGTTTCCTGACAGCTGCAAACTTAAAGACAGCGGCTGCAAACTTGACACCGGCTCCCTCTCCCGGCTCCCACTCCTCCACTGTGCAGCCCGGCATGTCCCGGCTGCGGGTCCCGGGGAGCCCTCCCCGGGGCTTCGGGCGCGGTTTCCTTTGAAAGCCTCGAGCTCCCGGGCGTGCCCTACTCACTTGTGTCTTCTTCATAAGGAAAGGCAGCGCTGCGATCCAGCCCAAGCAGCGGTGTGGCGACTCCGTTTAGCTGTTCTGGAGCTCCAGCATATTGCACGGGCAGCGGTGGCAGATAGTCCAAGCATTGGGCAGCCCGAGCGCAGCGCCCTCTCCCCGGCCTGTGCCTGCAGCGGCGCTCCCGGTCCCGGCGCGAGGTGGCGAGTAAAG